TCCTCCTTCCTCTTTTTTTTTTTTTTTCCCCCCCCCCTTTTATTTTCTTTTCGAACAGGGATAACGCGTTGAACGCGTTGATGATCTTTTGAAAATTTATAACGAGGAGATTAACATTGGCACCTGTCGAAGAGATTGGAAAAAAAAAAAAAGACGTTGGAACGTTGACGTTGGAATCTCGCTCTAGTCAGTCCTTCTTTTTATCGTCCAAAGTTATAACTATAACTAAAAAGAATGTTTCTATATATAAACAATATAATAATAAACGAGATTATTTACTTATAGAGAAATAAATATAGAAAAGAGACTTTTGATTTTTCGTCGAATAAAAAATTCTAGGGATCGATTTAAAAAAACAACGTCGTAACAAGAGTTAAAATTTGTAAGAAGAAAAAAATTAATTGAGTCAAAAAGATAAAATCGTTAAAAGAAAAAAAATATATATATATCTAAATATAAAAATACACGCAACGAGAGTAAAAATTTGAGGAAATCGCGATAAAATTAAAAGTGAAAATCGAAAATTAAAACGCATGCTACGCAACAAGCTCAAAAGCCATGCCAACGTGGACATAATTTACGCTGTTACCTACTTACCACATAATTAACTAATTACAACTAATTACAACAATAACAACGTGAAGTGAAACTGAAAGAATTTCCAAGTTCTAAAGGAAAAAAAAGGAAAAAGACATACCATATATCTTTCAACAATTTTGTTTAACAACGAGAACATTTTAAACTTAATTGCTTCTTTCGTTGTCACTTCGGATAAAACCGATAAAAAGTACGAAAAAAAAAAAAAAAGAAGTAAAAGAAGAAGGAGATAAGCGATGAAAATACAAAAATGGATAAACGAAGAGATCTTTGACGACAGAGATTTCTTCTTCTTCTTCTTCTTCGTAAAAAAAAAAAAAAGAAAATCGCAAAATACAAACTCTCTTCCACGTACGTCGCGAATACTTTGGATTTTCGCACGATCTTCTTAAACTCGGGTATTCCGCTTACTCGAGATTCGATTCGACCTTCGAACACGAAACGAAAGATGGCATCAGCCGAGGGAAAGCTCGGTCGTTGATGTATAAATCCTAGTCGAGGAAGACGTAACGCGACGCGGAACGAGCAAAACGAAGAATAGCTACGAAGAGAGGCAGAGACAAATACAGAAAGAGAGAGAGAGAGAGAGAGAGAAGGAGCGAAAGAACGATAGACCTACGTGCTATTCGACATGTACATAGTAGTAGCCTCTAGCAAGCCCTTGAAGCCCCCCTTGCTCAACGGCGATCGTTGGTTCGCGTTTGATTGGCAGGGGCCCCGCGCGTACGTAGCCTAAATGTAGGCGGTGGTGTAGGTAGCGCGTGAAGGTGCTGTCAGGACTCTGGAGGTCAGGATTCCCGTCGAGCAGAGATCTTTCGGCACGAAGGAGCCACCACCGACTACGGCCACTTCCGGGATCTCGGTGATGGCTCGGCTCGTTTCGTCGCCGTCGACGTCGTCGTCGCCGCCATCGAGACAACCATCCCGATCTTCCTTGCCCTTGCTCACCGTTCTCCTCGCGTCTCTCCCCCCCATCTCGTTCCTCTCCGCCACCTTGTCCGCCTCGCTCAACCATCTCCTCGACGCCAAGCCACCCCTCTTCTTCCTCCCCGACTTCTTCCATCCCCCTCGCTGATGCTGCTGCTGCTGATGATGATTATTATTATTATTGCTGTTGTTACCGCGCCCCGATTCCTCCTCTTTCCTCGTCGCTTTCGCTCTCTTCGTCTCCTGATTCTTCTTCGTGCAATCTAACGCCTCGTCGTCCTCGTCGTTCCTTCCTTTCGTCGTATTCTTCTCTTCCTCCACGCTCTTCCCATCCTCCTCCTCCTCCTCCTCCTTCTTCTTCTCGACTCGATCTCGCTCCACCTTGCTCCCACCTCCCCCCAACGAGGAAAATTCCGAACTGCTGGTAGCGTTACTACTCTCTTCCAAACAGGTGGCCATTATTAAGGAAGAGGATGGATCGTCGATGCTCGAAACGATCGTCGGGCCCTGATCCTTGTCCAACGGGCAAGAGGAGGTTGCGACGGGGTTGGTGGTATCCGTGGTGCTACAATCAGCGGTTCGATAAACGATCGGATTGTCCGGGACGAAATGGTGGTGAGCCAGATCCGTGTTGTTTCGGGAACGCAGTAACGAGGCGAGGTGTTGGGGGACCAAGGACATCGACGACGATGTCGATGACGATGGCGGTGGAGGGATGAGGCTAGAGGTGTCGGATAGAGCGGTACGCACGGGGGTGCTGGTTACGTAGGATTGCGTAGTATGGAAAGTAGCGACAGGCTGCGAGGCTGATGCTGCGTTTACGCACTTTGCCACGTGACTCTCGGCCAGACACTTGGACGCCCGGGCCTCCTGCAGCTCCCGTCTCAGCGCCAGAGTTTCTTCCTCGAACGCGGCGATCTCGCGGCCTTCGTTGCTACGTGCCAATCAACACACAATTTCCACCATGTATTTTATATACAGTGCGTATATCGTCAGGGATCGCATCTCTCGATCAGCACGGTGCAATGCTTTTGCCAATATTCTTGCGTGTGGATATGCCGTTCGGGTATGTTTGGCATGCGGACCCGAACGCGTGCGAGGTTTAAAAGTGCGCAATAGGGAGGGGGGAGACGGTGAGAGAGGAAGAGAGAGAGAGAGAGAGAGAGAGAGAGAGAAGCTTGGATGAACTTTTCCAATGTGAATCTCGATTGGGAAAAAACTCGCGAGAAAAAGGATTATTGGGTGGTGATATTATTGGTTGGTGATTTCGAGCGGTTCTCGATAGTGCTGGTGAGTATCTTTTTTAAAATCTTTTAAAAAAGTTGCGGCTGGAATGGATGCTTGGAAATGGTTTTGGAATCGCGTTTTTCTCGCGAGTATTGTTGAGTATTGTCGTGTGTCGCGTATTGCGTACTCGAGAACAGCGAAAGTTATTTTAGCGGTTAGCGGTTTTTTTTTTGGATGCCGAACAGGATTGGCATCGACAGGATTAAAGCTCTTAATGATTTTTTTTAGTTTGATCGTAGCTAAAATGGTTAAATGTGTGCGTGTATGTGTGTGTGTGTATGTGGGTGTGAGATAGGTATTTTGCGAAGAGATCGAGAATAGATGCATGCTGTGTTATTAAGGTAAGATTATTTGAATAATAATAATAATAATAATAATGGAGAAATCTGAGATTTCCTGAAGTTATAAGTTGAAAAGATATTATATAATTATCTCTAATCGAAAGAAATTCATGAATAAAAAAATATGTAAATGAGTAAAAAGAATTTTGTCGATGAAATTGTTCTAATTATGAAATTCTATATTCATTCATTCATAATTGAATATTGATAAAAATCCCGTACGTAATTCTCTAATCGACATGTTATTTTACAAAATTTTAACTTTGTGATAATTTACAAAATTTACAAAATTACGTGAATTCAATTCTTGTGATTAGTGCGATATGTGTAAAGAAAAAAAAAAAAAGAAAAAAGAAAAAAAAGAATGAAAAAAAAGAAGGAATAAAAGAATTTACAATTACAAAAGAAACGGTGAAGAAGTATCAAAGTTTGTTACGTGAGAAACGTGTGCAAAACGATCATGCGAAAGCAATAAATAATAGGTACTCACTTTGCATTCAGCTTCAACATTGCCACTTCCTCCTCCAATTTTGCTATTCTTCTGTCGCTTTCCTCCTTTTCTTCCGTTAATTTTATTATTCGATTCTGAAAAGGATCAAAGGGATTTATTTTATTTCCAAAGGAAATAAATTACGATATATACGATCAAGATTTTAATCGAGATAAGAAGGATAATTATAAGTTGGAAGAAAATTCGTTCATCGGAAAAAAAAAAAAGAAAAAAAAACGAAGGATAAGAATAAAAGATAAGGGAGACAATATCATTGAGCGCAGATAAGATGGCTCGACTCGAGTTTCGAAAGAAATCAAACAATTTACATAGCGGGCTGCAATTTTTCAAACGAGATAACGACGTTTCACCGACTTGCCAAGACTTGCCTCAATAATACAACGTAAAAAATATATTCTCACCTCGAATCTTTTTCATCTCCCTGTTTCTGCTTTGAAGCAGATTTTGCAAAAAAGAAAAAGAAAAATTTAAGCGCATACCCTGTGTTATTTCCGTTACCTTATTTCGAAACGAAAATGGCGGCGCGAGGAAGAGGAAGGTTCCGCGGGGACGGGTGAAACGAGCACTTGGACCGCGTGAAAACGCGTGGAAAAACGCGGCGAGCATGGGAGAAGAGATATACATAGTGAAAAGTGGAAGGTCCCGGAGGTTCAATTACGAAGATTGGCAACGCGACGCGACGAGGAGAGGCGAGTATGACGCGGATGGCCATCGCTTCGGTTGATGAGGCTAATGGATGGTTGAAACCCGAGAAGGCAGAAGAGGGAAAAAGAGGGGGAGGAAAGAGGCCAAGGGAGAGGCCGTGACAGCCGCTAAGTGCCTCATCCTTCACCCTTCCTCCTCCCAACGCGTAGAAAAATCCTTCCTTCTCTATCTTCCTTCCACCCACCCCTCCATAACTGCCACCCTCATGTGAAACCTAATCATTTTTACCAAGCGTCACGGATATTTCGTATTACGTCTACATTAGGTTCTCCGGTATCAGTCTGCCTTTTTATCGAAACCACGCTGCTGCTGCTGCCTTTCGATGAGATCAATTAGGGGATGAAGTCGTTTTTTTTTTTTTTCGTAAGCAAATAGATCCAATTAGAATCCAAGTTTTTTAATTTCGTTTCTTTCGATCTGATTGGATTTTTAGGAGTGAACGAGTTTTTGTTGCTGTATTTTTTAAAATTGTATGCAAAATTGTACGTGACTCTTTTTCAAACAGAATATTCTTGTTTCTTCTCTAAATATTTGAGAACGGGGATTTACTTCGGTAATTTTGATTGATCCCCTTTCTAAGAAGAAAACTAACTAATTAAATGAGAATATAAATTTTGATTCTAACGCGAAGAAGAATGATTAAATATTCCTCTTCAAGAACAACAATCGACGTCTTGAACGCTAGTTTCAATGAAAAAATCCATATTGAACGACTTTCTGTGAAAAATTTCTCGAGCACAAAGAACTAATTAAATTACGAATTGTTCTCATTGAATCCATTAATGGATATGAATATGAATATATTCTTTTCTACTATGTGGTCGATATAAATATTATAGGAGAAACAAGGAAGCTTATATTTAAATAGTATGAAACTGTATAAAAGTTCCAATGTAAACATACATAAATAATCGAAGAGAAAAAGAGAGGGATCGAGAAACGCGTGCAGGCAAAAGAATTTGATCGATGAAAATTCGCGTACAGACGATAATCGAGAAAGGGAAAGAAAGGAAAAATGGGGGTAGAGGGAAAAGGGAGAAGCGCGGATCACCTGGCCGTCCTAATCAAACAGAACGTACGAATGCTACGCAAACAATATGTCCATGACCATGCCAGTGGAAATGCCGAAAGCGTTGGTCGGAGCGGTATATTACTGTAGCCTAGCCTAGCAAAGTCGAGAGAGAATGAGAAAAAGTGGATTCTTTCTTTCTCTCTTTTCTGTCTCTCTATACGTTTTGTTTTCACTTCCCACGTTTTCTATCTGCCGAACTTTTACGCTTCGAACTTCCTGCCTCTTTTCCACTAAATGAATTTTTTCTACAAACTTATCGACTAATCGAGAAAACTGATATAACGATGACACATTCTGCTCACTTGTGGAAAACTTTTATGTTGTCTCTCAACAACTATTATGAATCAGTGTTTAATAACAATAACGATGTAAATCATTGAATGTATTGAACGTAAATTGTTTAGAATAGCATTTGTCCTTCTTTTTATTTAATTGTTGAATTGATAGATAGAGAATTGATTTAAATTGTGCGTATGAAAATATAAAATTAATACTTACGTTTAAATTTGCCACTTCTAACGACCTTTGGTTTAATTTTTCCTCCATCATAGATTTTACTTTCGAAATCAATCCCTCCTCGCACGTTTTGTTGGCTTGTCTAATTTCGCGAATAAAATCTGAAGGAATTCAAATATTCGTGTTATTTTGTGTACATTGTATTGTGTAACTGTATTATTGTTTGTATTAATATTAACGCAAAACACAAAATTGGATTAATTTAAAAATTCAGAGAGATTCTAGGAATAATCTACTATAACAACTTTTGTTAATATTTACCTGATAACATTCCTGGTTGATAATCTGAAGAGCTGCTATATTTACATTGTGCTAGTTTTGCTTTCATACTGCCTAGTTCCGATTTTGTTTCATTTAATTCTTTGAACAATTGACTATTGCCTTTTTTCAGTTCTGTCATCTGAAAGTAAAATTGTACGATTATTAATATATATCTGTTACATTTTAAATATATATAACTTGTATATCCACCTGTTCGATAAGAGATAAGACAAGTTTATTGCTACGTCCAACTGTAGTAATGGAGCTTCCACTATCAATGCTATCAGAATCTTCGCTCTGAGTTTGAATCGGAGCTTCTGCAGATCCAAGACCAGGATCCGAGTACCTTCGATGCTCTGAATTTGGCTCATCCCCATTTATTTCATTATTCTTGTTACCGGTAGGTGGCAAGCTTGCGTAATCTCCATTTTGATAATTAATAGGCACGGAAGATTCTACTCCATTTTCTTGTAAACTTGAGTAACCATTTCCCATAGAATTCATACTCAAATTCATTGGAAAATTTTGATTACAATGCCGTCTAGGTCTACCATGAACGGTTCTAATGCCAGAAAACGGTACTGGTTGATATAGCCTATACATGGTTGGAAGTGAAACAGGTTCCATGGTATATGTCATGGGCATCTGTGTATAACCGCACATGCTAGGATCGGATGTTGTTGTAAAAAGACGCTGTCCATTGTTCGAAAAGTTTTGTTGTACATTGGACTGCCATAATAAATGTTGATACTCCATTCCAGGTACCATGTCGTTATTTTGATTGTTTTGCATGTTATTCATCCATAAACCAAGTATGTTATTTTTTTTACTGGATCTTTTCTTATTTTTCTTAGAATGACTAGAGATATCCTCACGATACCCTGACCTAGATGTATCCAATTTGCTAAAAATTTGTGACATTAAAATTAAAGACATTAACGATTATGAATCGAACGAAATATCACGACGTACCTTTTATCCATTTTTACGGACGACATACACCGTGTCAGAGGTTAGTCGAAGATCAACACTCGTAGTATACGTGACATGGAGATTCGATCAGATATCGTACCGTAATGCGTACGCAGAAATATTGATATCTTGATTTTTTATAAACTTAACTTAGTAATATCGTAGTAATAGTAAATACGGACGGTAAACACTCGACTCACTCTGTCCTATTCAGAATCAGTAGTTATCACTTTGCGGCTGATTGGTTGAATGAATCCCTACTCTTTCCTAACTGCAAAACGTAATTGCTTGTATCACAAACGATGTACAAGATATACGTTTAATGGTACTTTGTGTCCTACGTTTTAAAATACTGATCGTGTAAAAAATCATATATCGGAACCGTCTTTTAAGCTCATAAATTATGTAGAACAAGTATAGACAGAGAGAGGAAATAGTGAGAGAAGGATAAAGATAGGGTAAAAATATTGAAATCAACGCCATCTTCAGAGTGCCGCAAATAAAACTCAATAAAGAAAGGATAAAAGATAGAGGGAGAAAGATAGAGATAGGATAAGAATTAACCTTTAGCTCCATCTCTTGAGCGTGAGAAATATTTCATGTTGAGCATCTTTCAAAGAGATGACGCTACTAGTTAAGTACTTATGTAGAAATTTCTTTCGTATTCAAGAGATGACACTAACAATTAATTCTTGCCCTATCTCTTTTTCCTTTTATTTTTTGTTCTTTCTTTATTGAGTTTCATTTAGAGCGGCACTCTAAAGATGGCGCTGATTTCAATATTTTTATCTTACCTCTGTCCTTTTCTCGCTTTTTCCTCTCCTTTTCTACATTTGTTTTACAAATTATAACATAAAATATGAACACTTGTGACAATCTATGGATCAAAAAGATTTAAGATTTTTTTTTAATAAAAATAAAAAAGAGATAACAGTTTGCATATTTTTATATATTGTACATATATTTTACATATACATCTGTATTTATATACTTTGATTACTGCATTTATATATTTTTTATTTTTTCATATATCTTTTTTTATAAAATATATATATTTCTAATTTTATATGGTGCCCAAATTTTGTTTACTACAAATATATGTACATATATATATATATATATATGTATAAATACGAATACCGCCTTTGACGTTAGACATTGTACGCATGCGCCATAGTAGTTCTTCCAAGCTTCAAGTGACGTGGCTTCAATGACGGCACGAGTTGTACTGTTACGGTGAAGTAGTGTCCTTTTAATTCAATTGTAAAATAATGCTGTAATTATGAGAACTTGATAGTAAAGATTACTTAAAATTATCTCAAGCTTATAATTAAAAGTACACGATAGTCATCGTTGACTTAATTAGGTATGTTTAACCTAAAATCATTTATTATACATTCTTTACACTTGTCACATATTTAAAAATTATACGAATATTAAGAATTAAAGTTGAATGTTATTTTTATTATTTGATATTTCTTGATTACAGCAACATGACTACTTATGAAGATTTCATTCAACAAAATGAAGACCGTGATGGAATACGTATTACTTGGAATGTTTGGCCCTCATCACGTGTAGATGCCACTAGACTTGTTGTGCCCTTAGGAACACTTTATCAACCGATCAAAGAAAGGCCAGATCTTCCACCAATACAATATGATCCTGTTCTTTGTACAAGATCTACATGTAGAGCAATTTTAAATCCATTATGCCAAGTCGATTACCGTGCTAAATTATGGGTGTGCAATCTATGCTTTCAAAGAAATCCTGTAAGAATTAAATCATATTGATTATAAAATTAAATATAATTATCTTGTAATAAAATAATATTTGATATGTAATATATTTTTAGTTTCCTCCACAATATGCTGCTATTTCAGAACAACATCAACCAGCTGAATTAATTCCAAAGTTTTCAACTATTGAATATACCATAATGGTAAACAATATTTATATCAAAATAAAATATTATTTTTATTAATCTATTATATATTAATTATTATTATTTTTGAATAGAGAGCACAATGTTTACCACCCATTTTCTTACTAGTTGTGGATACATGTATGGATGACGAAGAATTAGGTTCTCTCAAAGATTCTTTACAAATGTCACTTTCTTTACTTCCACCTAATGCTCTAATTGGTCTTATTACATTTGGAAGAATGGTACAAGTACATGAATTAAGTTGTGAAGGATGCAGTAAAAGTTATGTTTTTCGTGGTACTAAAGATTTACAACCAAAACAGGTTCAAGACATGCTAGGTATATTTTTATAATAAAATATAACTATATAGAATAGATATATATTGTCATAACTTATAGGTATAGGTCGGCCAATACCAGGTCAAAATCCAAATCAACAAAGAGGACCTGGTGGACAACCATTACCAGCAGCAAATCGTTTTTTACAACCTGTACATAAATGTGATATGAGTTTAACAGATCTTTTGGGAGAACTTCAACGAGATCCATGGCCAGTCGGGCCAGGAAAACGTCCATTACGATCGACGGGTGTCGCACTAGCCGTTGCTACCGGTCTTTTGGAAGCCAGTTATGCTAACACAGGAGCCAGGTATGTGTTTCGATTATAAATTTTTTATTCAAACATTTTGAATAAAAATATACGTTATTATTTTTAGGATAATGCTATTTGTGGGTGGACCTTGTTCTCAAGGACCTGGTCAAGTCGTAACGGATGACTTACGGCAACCTATTAGATCGCATCATGATATTCAAAAAGATAACGCTAAACATATGAAAAAGGCAACTAAACACTATGATTCTCTCGCGTCACGTGCTGCAACAAACGGTCATATAATAGATATCTATTCGTGCGCTCTCGATCAAACCGGTCTATTAGAAATGAGACAATGTTGCAATTCAACTGGTGGTCACATGCTTATGGGAGATTCTTTCAATTCTTCTCTATTCAAGCAAACATTCCAACGTGTGTTTGCTAAAGATCATAAAGGCGATTTGAAAATGGCATTTAATGCAACATTGGAAGTGAAAACGTCACGAGAAATTAAAGTTTCCGGTGCGATCGGGCCTTGCGTATCTCTAGGGGTAAAAGGATCAAGTGTTGGAGAACAAGAAGTAGGATTAGGTGGTACATGCCAGTGGAAATTCTGTTCCCTTACACCTTCTACTACTACAGCATTATTTTTTGAAGTTGTCAATCAACATACGGCACCAATTCCTCAAGGTGGAAGAGGTTGTATTCAATTTATCACACAGTATCAACATAGTAGCGGTCAACGAAGAATCAGAGTTACTACAATTGCTAGAAAGTATGTTAATATATTTATTAAATTTTTGTTATTGTTAATTTTTATTATTTTTTAATCACAATAATTTTGATTATAGTTGGGCAGATGCATCGACATCTTTACATCATATAAGTGCCGGATTTGATCAAGAAGCAGCCGCTGTTCTCATGTCGCGTTTAGCTGTATTTAGGGCAGAAAGTGACGATGGACCAGATGTTTTAAGATGGGTCGATCGTATGCTTATTAGATTAGTTTGTATCTTTTACTAAATTTAACATTTAATATAATATATATAATATTTCTAACATTAAATATTTCTTTTATAGTGCCAGAAATTTGGGGAATACACAAAAGATGATCCAAATAGTTTTAGGCTTGCAGAAAACTTTTCTTTATATCCTCAATTTATGTATCATTTGCGTAGATCGCAATTTCTACAAGTATTTAATAATTCTCCCGATGAAACTAGTTTTTATAGGTTAGCCATTATATTTTCATGTTTCAATCAATTGAAATATTATTAGTAATTAAAATTTTAAATATTATAGGCATATGCTCATGCGAGAAGATTTAACAAATTCTTTGATAATGGTACAACCAATTTTGTACAGTTATGGATTTAGTGGTCCTCCGGAACCAGTTTTATTAGATACATCATCTATTCAGCCAGATAGAATTTTATTGATGGATACTTTCTTCCAAATCCTTATATTCCATGGAGAGGTAGTTATTTATCATTGTTTATAAATAATAATGTGCTTGCAATATATATATATTAATTTATTACAGACTATTGCACAATGGCGTCAATTAAAATATCAAGATTTGCCAGAATATGAAAATTTCCGACAATTATTGGCAGCACCTGTTGATGATGCTGCTGAAATATTAGCCGAACGGTTTCCTGCACCTAGATATATCGATACTGAACAAGGTGGTTCACAAGCAAGGTTTTTATTGAGCAAAGTGAATCCAAGTCAAACTCATAACAATATGTATGCTTATGGAGCGGTAAGTGCATTATTTAATATTTTTATTCTTAATAATACAACATTTTCAACATCAAATTTATTCATATTAGATTATTTTATTTATTTTTCATTTTCAACGAATTAAACATTTTAATCAACCATATGTAATTAATAATCTTTTCATGTCATCGTGATCCTGCAACCAGGGGATGCCGATACCCAGTGGGGTGTGTTTTACATTCATTTGATAATTATATTTTTTTTCTTTATATTTGCTTTTATTGCTTTGGTAATGGAATTAGTGGGGAAAATTTAGAAATTTAAATAGTTAATATTTCTTGTCTATACAATAAAATATTTTTTAACAATAGTAAAAAGTAACTAACAAATATTAACTATTACTCCAAAACTATCACTATAAAAATATCGATATTAAATCGTTTTAAATTATCTCACGTTATTTAACACAATTTCACTATATAAGGCAAGCATAAAATTCTACACACTTTAACAATTTTTTGCAACAGTATTATCACAATTCACTGGTGGTTGGCATCAAAAAAATCTTTGTTCACAAAATACATTTTTATGAATTATAATTAACTTTAATCTATTTATTTATTTATTGGTTTAGCAATAAAATTTAGCTTCTCTTCATTTTATTGATTATTAATTCTAATTTTTAATTAATTTTTATTGTAATTTAGGAAAGTGGAGCGCCTGTCTTAACTGATGATGTCAGTTTACAAGTATTCATGGAGCATTTAAAAAAATTAGCTGTGTCATCCACAGCTTAAATTATTATGAAAATACAATAAATATTCCTCATTGTTTTGCATATGCAAATTTTAATGCTTTGGAATATAATGAGGTACCGATAGTTACAATCTATTAAGAAAGATAAAATAAATGCAGTAAGAATTTTCATTATAACGAGAATGTATGATTAATTAAATATAATTCCTCAATATTTTTTTTGAAGTCAAGATATAATTCATGTACAAATAAAATACATAGTATTCGTGTAATACATATTTTACATTCATGTTTCCCATTTTTTTAATGTGTCATCAATAGCATAACTTATTTTCCAATAGTGCTTGTTTATAGTAAATGTTATCATATTTTTTTTTTTTTGGAAAATGTAAGCAGTATAACAAGACAAATAATAAATTAAATGTTGTAAACTGTAGGTTAACAAAATCTGTAATAACTGTGGAATTTATATATATACTATAAATCGTAAAAACATATAATTGTATCATTTTTTATTAATTAAAATTACAGCTGTTTTAATAACAGTTTTAAAAAAAAGGAAATTTACTATCTTACCTTTCATTGTATCATTAAATACTGAACATAACTTCAACTTTTTTTCATGTAAAATAAATGAAGATACATAAGAAAAAAAGAATTGTTATATTCATTATTATTATTATAAATTATAATAAATTTTAATATATATGCCCAACACATCAGCAAATTGTGCATTATTTAAAGAAAAAAATAAATTAACTAAGAAATCGTATAGACATTTTTTGTTCTACATCTGTCCTCTCTAATGCTTTACAAAACTCTTCAAATGAAATCATTCCATCACCATTTTCATCAGCCTCTACTATAGTTCTTTCCGCAATACTAGTTAACTGTTCCTCGCTAAAATAAATGAGATATTTTTAAATAGATTAAAAAATAAGCAAATTATATAAATTATTTAAATTATTTTATTTTTAAATAATAAATTAAATTATTTTTGTTACCTAATATTTGCACCAACCATCATATGCAAAATAGCTAGTAGTTCATCTTTCGATATTAAATCATCATTATCCAAATCATACATTTTGAAGGCAACTGAAATATAAACAAATATAAAATAACTTTTAAAACTTCTTTTGATTTTATTTTATTATTAACTTACATTTTAATTTCTCTTGTCTAGAATTTAATCTATTAGGACTATTTTTTTTAATGGGTCTGAAGTGAGCCAGCACTTGCATAAATTGTAAGAAGTTCACTCTATCATTACCACTTTCATCAAAGAAAGCATTTACAATTCTATCACCAAGAGGATTTATTGCCAATTCTGGAATTCTAAGGAAATCTTCTCTACTAAGAGTTCCACAATCTCCACGATCAAGACTTGTAAAACGACTATATAAACGTTCAATCTGATTTGGTGTAACTATAACACAAAACAAGAATTTAATCAATAAATATATTATTATTGCATTTTAGGTAAATATTATGTATATTAATAGTTAAATAAATATTCTCAAATATAAAATAAATATAGTAAAAAATATATATGATCATTATAAATTTCATAATACGAAATATAATATATAAAATATATTATAAATTAATAATTAAATATTATAAATTATATTTTAAACAGTAACAAATTTGAATGTTTTTTTGAAATAATGTATTTTATAAATAAAACTTACATCCAGTTGCTTCTTGGATTTGTGCTATTTCTTCTTCGCGTAGAAGAAGGCTAGATCTATTACCCATATTTTTTTTTATGTAATTAAAATATTTTTAATAAAATAATTTAATAATTTTAACTTAATCTAAATATATTAATTCATATTTAATTTCTTTATTTCAACATGTACACTTTTATATATGATATCCTAACATTTGACAAATAATCACAAGTGTCAAAGGTTACTGATGAAAAAAAATCTCAAGACTGATATACAATATGTTATTCCAGTAGACAAATTTCATATATACTTAACATTAATATATTTTTGCTCAAATAACTTTTTAAAGTCATTTTATTTAAAAAAAAAATATTTGATACAATATTTTTTGCAATTATTTCCAATATATTATAAATTTAATAATAATATTACAAATATAACAAATGTTATAACAAAATTTCGTACCAAAATTGAAATAAAAAAAATTAAATTTTGTATTCTAAAAATTCTATTAATTATTATACAGTTTCCACTATTATATTCCCTAGTATAGGGATTTATGCACAAATATTATTATATAAAGAACTCGAATTGATTTTATATGCATTTATTTTATGTAACATCATTCATTAATATTTTTTTTCGCTATTTGATCTTTATTTTTCATTTAATGAAAATTCATTATATTAAATAAAAAAAATTTTTATTTAAACATTCATTTTTTATATAGGAAATTATTATACGATTTCACATGAACTATTATAAATTATTATGTAAATTGTTTAAATATTGTTTCAAATTTAATTAATATTACTGTTAATATTATTTCACAACATTTTTTTCAAGTTTAAAAGATTATATATTCGTGCTATGACTTTATAATTCCAACATCAGTGATCAGGAAGTGACGTTCGTATAGCATAGTGTCCACGTAGCGCCTCAGCTTCTGACGAGCGTAGTTTTTCGTACGTCAAATATAACAGTTTGTGAAGCGTTCTTCATTTATACGCATTGTGAGTACTGTGTTTTAAAGAAAGATTTTTTAATCTTTTCAAACAAAATTAAGAAAAAAATTAACAACGCATTAATGGACAATTTTTGTAACCTATAAGTTATTTTCTGTTATTATCGAGTCCAAAAATTAGTATGTTTATTTTTTTTAATTGAAGTGATATATATCAATTTTTTAGATATACTATAAGTTTAAAAGCACATGTAATTTTGCACACCGCTCGTATAAAATTTTACACGAATTCTATCAGTTCTAATTATAAAAATTAAATATAAATGTTTGTGGTATGTCGATATAAACTTCATTACACGAATATTTTATTTTCAGTTACACAAGTACAATGGATCAAGTGAAGAAACTTACCGAACCTGGACGTCAATTTGCGAAAGATAGTATTCGTCTTATTAAACGATGCACAAAACCTGATAGGAAGGTAAGTTTATAATAAATGATTATTTTCTGAATTTTGTTTTATTCTAACTTGTTGTTTGGTGATTTTTAGAATTTCAGAAAATTGCCATTGCCACTGCCATTGGTTTTTGCATAATGGGTTTTATAGGATTCTTTGTCAAATTAATTCATATTCCAATTAATAACATTATTGTGTAAGTGAATTTGATTATATATTATTAATGTGTAGTTATCTTTAAATAATTATATTGATATGTTATTTGTATTTTTCAGGGGTTCATAAACTTATCGAATAAGTATATTTAAGGTTTAATAAGATTATATTTCCTTCCCTCCTTCCAAAGTATCTTTATTTATAAAATGAAATTATGAATTTTGTTTTGAATTGATTGTGACTGAGATATGAGAATGTAATATTAATATTGAATTCTATAATAAAATGTGTGTGTAATATTTGTTGATAGTACATTTTTTCAATATTTACATTTTCATTTTTAAATTTATAAAATGATTGTAAATAAAAATAAAGAATAGATAATTAGTATATATTGAAGGCACTTTTATTTAAAGAATAAAATTTTTCTTTAGGTTACAACGATAAAAATTTTGTCAGCCATTTTTCTAATTTCAATTTAATGTATTCTTTCTAAAGAAAAATAGCTGTCGCATGGAAAACCATGGCCAGGTACTCAGTAATAAAAGACAATAGTACGATTTTGTTACAATGAATAAAATCTTATATATTGTTTACTATTTTGTTGTTGAAATTATTCTGTATTTATTCTCTAGAAAAACTTTGTTTTTAATACACTTTGCTAAAAAGACAACGAACCTATGGCCAGATACGATAAGCGAGTGTATCTGGAATTTTAATAATGGCAGTATGTATTGGATAGAGCAAACATAATTATATCAAAATAAATTCTATCTTTTATTTTTAAAGAACCATCAATTTTATATCTAATTTTTTTTATTTAAAAAATTTTTTCGAATATTCCATAAACACGATCGGAATATTTTTTACTTAAAATAAAATGCAATACTTTTAAAGAATTTGCATATTAAAATTTATTGCGCATTTTTAGCATGTCAATAATATTATCTTTTTGGTTCCTCTTCTCAATATGTTAAAGATAGAAAAAATTTGTATATAAATATAAACTTTGTTTCAATACATTTGATATACTATTACTTTCAGAACTTTGCATTAGTAAATAGACATCGATAATATATATTTAACATGTGTATTAAACTATTAAATACTCTCTTCGGGCAACTTAATAAAATTTATATAAAAAGCAAATATATATATAAATATATATATATATATATTTTTATATATATATATTTAATGTATGTATATGTATAGCACCACACGTATGTGACTATTACGTGTTCTTCCTGCATGTTAAAGAAAAAACATTCTTAATGCTTGTGCACGCTTTTTAATCTCTTGCCAGAAGAATAAAAGGAAGACTTTATCTCACTTCACACATTTTATGAAGTGCAAGAAAAATCTTTTCCTTCGTTATATCAATCGGCGGTAACATTCCAAATGAATAAAAAGTATCTTTTAATCCATGGATTAGAAAAAAAGCGTTTCACTATTAATCGTAACGTTCGGCTAAATATTAAACTAGCTTCTGTAAATTGCAGAACGCGTAAGCGTAGCCCAAAGTGCGTTTATTAATTTCTTTCCACCGATATAATCTTTTCATAAAAATAAAAATATTCTCTGATCGATATTATCTGATGGTTCTTTGGCATCCTTGTCGCTATTACTTCGTGTATTAAAAAATTTCAATGATCACATGATCAGAGTTACAATATAAAAGAAAAATTAAAAAATAAAATTTTTTCGTGCAAACGCACCGAAGAAGGGTAACTACCCACAAAATTGAGGTATGTCGTCGGTCATTGTCATTAATCGTCATGTATATATATCATGTGTTTGTTAATTGTAATGACGCGTATGTGTTTGACATGTGCGTGTCTGCGAGTGTATACGTATATAATAATATATGTAATCTGTATAAAATATGCACATTTCACAGTATTAAATATATCGTTACGATTGCTCGTATAATTATAAGTATCCTTTGAGAACGCGTCACATAGCGTACACGTCCCAATGTACGAGAGATAGTCGTAATCAATATCAGAAGACTTATTATATGTTGAGTTATACAAATTATACTTTTTTTTCTCACTGGTAAATCGAGAAAAGGCGGCCGCATAAAAAATAATCGACATCTGATGCGAACCGCCATTTGTAAAAGAAATTCTCGACTTTTACTTAAAATAACGAAACACCTTTGCAATGCTCGACTATTTTTTATGATTATCTTTAAATTTTCGTAAATATTTTTTAATACAGAAATTAATACGAATTAAAATAAAATAAAAATTTTTTTTGTTCTTTTTCTCTTTGTTTTCTTTTAAAATTCATATTGCATCAACATATTAATACTAATAAATCGAGTATCGCAAAAGTAATTCGTTTCTATCTTATATTTATTGATTACATTAATTATATTTTAGAATGTCACAGTATTTATTTTCAAGGAATTGGTTACTTACTTTCAAGAAAGGGTTATTCTTAAGGAATGTCTTCAAGCGTTCTACATCGAACGTTTCGAGTGCAAAGGGATGTGTTAAGAAATAGAAGGAAAAAAGAAGAAAGAATAGGATGAAAAGGAGAAATAGGAGCGCGTTGTTATTAAAGTATAATCAACTTACAAGCTATAGACTTGCGATTATAAGAAACGGGAGATTCGGTTCACCGGAAGTGTTAAGAATCTTCGAAAGAATCTCAAAAACATACAAAATTCCTAAATTATCTCGACAACGCTTCCATCAATTAAACAGATGTTCCTACTTTCTCGTGTCTTCTTGGAATGCATACAACTGTTTCTTCACCATCAAACAAACATCAGATTCTTAATGGAACCATGTATCATCTTCTTTAATCGGTAAACCAAATCTCCACGGAAACTACTCTTTAAATGGCGCGGTAGGCATTGTTACAACGTTGATAAAGCTACTAAACCGTACAACCTGCATCCGAGGTTGGTACGAATGGACTTCCTTGTCGATAAAAGTCAGCTTCATACTCTTCCACTTTTACCGGATATTCCGTCACACAATTCTGAGGCTGGTTCAATGCTGGTGGGGGCTGCACGAAATTCTCCTGGTAACTGGGTAGCTGCAAAGGTTCTGCAAATTGTTGATACGAATTGTCTGTGCCACCTTGTTTCAGACAAGTCGGTCCATGCAGACTTAGCATGTCTACAAGCCTGCGCCTTTGCGTCTCTAATTCTTGAATCTGCGACTTCAAATCGTGGTTTTGCGTTTCGAGGATTTCTGACTCGTGCACCAAAGTCACTGTTTTTTCACGCTTCTTCAATCGACACTTGGTAGCAGCTATCTTGTTCCGTTCGCGCCTTCTTCGACGCCTCTCCTCATCCTCTGGCGTTAGCTGCAAAAATTATTTAATCAATCTAAAATGTTACGATATTTCTGCAATATAATATGAAAATAATGAATATATATCTTATGGTTTAGCGATTGAATTCTTCTTGATCAGAGCAATAAATAACAGGAAAAAAATTGATTGGAATAAATGTCCGGTTTGACTCGAAAACCCGTGAAATCGATGAAACGACGACTTACAGCGCGAATTGCCGGACATCACGACTGGCTTTATCGTTTAAACGAGAACATTATGTGAAGATTTCTTACTCCACCGCGGTTATTGTTGTTGCCCGCTTCTTCTTCCTCCTCGTCATCCGCACTCCCATCTTCCTTCTTCGTCTTCTTCTTCGTGTCATCCCCGCTTCCGTTGGCTCTTCTTTTCGTTTGTAGCGTCAACTTCAATCCTATAAATATATCAGATATTTAATCACACAAATTGTCATCGAAGATGAGAACAAAAAAACTTTTCGCAATATATATACATGTAGAATATAACTCATTAAAGTAAACTATGATCCATATATAAAAGAAAAATCATCGATTAGATTTGTATTGATATGCAATCGGAAAATTAAA